GGTAAAATTAAAAATGCTATAACTGAGATGCAATCCCAAGTGGAGGCCATAAAAATGAGAATGAATGAAGCAGAAGAGTGAATCAGTTAGTGGTATAGAAAATAAAATTATGGAAAATAATGAAGCTTAAAAGAAGAGGGAAAGAAAAATATTAGATCACGAAGGTAGACTTGGGAACTCAGCGATTCCATAAAACAAAATAATATCCATATAATAGGAGTCCCAGAAGAAGAGCAGGAAAAAGGGGCAGGAGGTTTATTTGAACAAATTATAGCTGAGAACTTCTCTAATATGGGGAAGGAAACAGGCTTGCAAGGCCAAGAGGCACAGAGAACTCCCCTCAAAATCAACAAAAATACGTCACTGCCATGACATATTATAGTGAAACTTGCAAATTACAAAGAGAAAGAGAAAATCCTGAAAGCAACTTGGGACAAGATGTCCTTAACCTGTAAGGGTAGACACAAAAGGCTGGCAGCAGACCCGTCCACAGAGACCTGGCAGGCCAGAAAGGACTGGCAGGATATATTCAACATGCTAAATGGGAAAAATATGCAGCCAGGAATACTTTATCCAGCAAGGCCTTCATTCTGAATAGAAGAAGAGATTGTTTCCAAGACAAACAAAAACTAAAGGAACTCATGAATGCTAAACCAGCCCTGCAAGAAATATTAAAGAGGACCCTTTGAGCATAAAGACAGACCAAAAGTAACAAAAACCAGAAAGGCACAGAGACAATCTACAGGAACAGCAACTTTACAGGTAATACAATGGCACTAAATTCATATCTTTCAATAATTACTCTCAATGTTAATGGACTAAATGTTCCAATCAAAAGACATAGGGTATCAGAATGGATAAAAAAAAAAAAATAAGACCCATCGATATGTTGCTTACAAGAGACTCATTTTAGACCCAAATCCCCTCCAGATTGAAAATGAGGGGGTGGAAAACCATTTTTATTATGCTAATGGACAAAAGAAAGCTGGAATAGCCATCCTTATATCAAACAAACTAGGTTTTAAACCAAAGAACGTAACAAGAGATGAAGAAGGACAGTATATCACAATAATGGGGTCTATCCAACAAGAAGATCTAACAATTGTAAATATTTATGTCCCTAACTTGGGAGTAGCCAAATATATAAATCAATTAATAACAAACTTAACAAAACTCATTGATAATAATACAATAATAGTAGGGGACTTTAACACCCCACTCACAGTAATGAACAGATCATCTAAGCAGAAGATCAACAAGAAAACAAGGGCTTTGAATGACACACTGGACCAGATGGACTTAACAGATATATTCAGAGCATTTCATCCTTAGGCAAGAGAATACACATTCTTTTCAAGTGCACATAGAACATTCTCCAGAATAGATTACATACTGCATTACAAATCAGGACTCAAGTGGTACAAAAAGATTGTGATCATACCATGCATACTTTCAGACCACAATGCTATAAAACTTGAAGTCACCATAAGAAAAAATTTGGAAGGACCACAAATACATGGAGGTTAAAAAACATCCTACTAAAGAATAAATGGGTCAATCAGGAAATTAAAGAATTTTTAAAAACATGAAAGCAAATGAAAATGAAAACATGACAGTTCAAAATCTTTGGGATGCAGCAAAGGCAGTCCTAAGCAGGAAATAGAGAGTAATACAGGCCTTCCTCAAGAAGCAAGAAAAGTCTCAAATACACAACTTAATCCTACACCTAAAGGAGCTGGAAAAAGAACAGCAAATAAAGCCTACATATAGCAGGATAAGAGAAATAATAAAGATCAGAGCAGAGATCAATAATATAGATATTTTTTAAAAACCCCAGGGGAACAGATCAATAAAACTAGGAGCTGGTTCTTTGAAAGAATTAAGAAGATTGATTAACCCCTAGCCAGACTTATCAAAAAGAAAAAAAGACCCAAATTAATAAAATCATGAATGAAAGAGGAGAGACCACAATCAACATCAAAGAAATACAATTATAAGAGAATATTATGGGCAATTATATGCCAACAAATTAGGTAATCTGGAAGAAATGGATAAATTCCTAGAAACATATAAACTACCAAAACTGAAACAAGAAGAAATAGAAAATCTGAACATACCAATAACCAGCAAAGAAATTGAATCAGAATCAAAACCTCCCAACAAACAAGAGTCCAATGCCAGACGGCTTCCTAGGGGGATTCTACCAAACATCTAAAGGATAAATACCTATTCTGAAACTGTTCCAAAAATAAAAATGGAAGGAAAACTTCCAAACTCATTCTATGAAGCCAGCATTACCTTGATCCCAAAGACCCCACTAAAAAGGAGAATTACAGACCAATATCCCTGATGAACATGCATGCAAAAATTCTCAACAAGATACTAGCTGGTAGGATCCAACAGTACATTAAAAGGATTATTCACCACAACCAAGTGGGATTTATTCCTGGGCTGCAGGAGTGGTTCAACATCCACATATCAATCAACGTGACACACCACATTAATAAAAGAAAGGATAAGAACCATATGATCCTCTCAATAGATGCAGAAAAAGCATTTGACAAAACACAGCATCCTTTCTTGATTAAACCCTTCACAATGTAGGGATAGAGGGAACATATCTCAGTATCATAAAAGCCATATACAAAAAACCCACAGTGAATACCATTCTCAATGAGGAAAAACTGAGAGCTTTTCCCCTAAGTTCAGGAACACGACAGGGATGCCCACTTTCACCACTGTGGTTCAACATAGTAGTAGAAGTCCTAGCCTCAGCAATCAGACAACAACAAAAAAAATAAAAATCATCTGAATAGGCAAAGAAGAAGTCAAGCTCTCACTCTTCACAGATGACATGATACTGTGGAAAGCCCAAAAGACTCCACACCAAAAATGCTAGAACTCATACGGAAATCAGCAACATGGCAGGATATAAAATCAGTGCACAGAAATCAGTTGCATTTCTATATACTAACAATGAGACAGAAGAAAGAGAAATTAAGGAGTCGATCCCATTTTCAATTGCACCAAAACCGTAAGATACCGAGGAATAAATCTAACCAAAGAGGTAAAGGATCTATATCCTGAAAACTATAGAACACTCATGAAAGAAATTGAGGAAGACATAAAGAAATGGCAAAACATTCCATGCTCATGGATTGGAAGAACAAATATTGTTAAAATGTCTATACTGCCTAGAGCAATCTACACATTCAATGCAATCGCTATCAAAATACCATCAACTTTACTCACAGACTCGGAACAAATAATCCTAAAACTTGTATGGAACCAAAAAAGATCCCAAATAGCCAAAGGAATGTTGAAAAAGAAAGCCAAAGCTGGGGGCATCACAATTCCAGACTTTAAGTTATATTACAAAGCTGTAATCATCAAGACAGTATGGTACTGGCACAAAAACAGACACATAGATCAATGGAACAGAATAGAGAACCCAGAAATGGACCCTCAAACTCTGTGGTCAACTAATCTTTGACAAAGCAGGAAAGAATATCCAATGGAAAAAAGACAGTCTCTTCAACAAATGGTGTTGGGAAAATTGGACAGCCACATGCAGAAGAATGAAACTGGACTATTTCCTTACCCTATACACAAAAATAGACTCAAAATGGATGAAAGACTTAAATGTGAGACAGGAATCCATAAAAATCGTCGAGGAGAACGCAGGTAGTAACCTCTTTGACCTCAGCATAAGCAACTTCTGGCTAGACACATCTCCAAAGGCAAGGGAAGCAAGGACAAAAATGAACTTGTGGAAGTTCATCAAGATAAAAAGCTTTTGCACAGCAAAGGAAGCAGTCAACAAAACCAAAAGACAACCAACAGAATGGGAAAAGATATTTGCAAATGTCTTATCAGATAAAGGGCTAGTATCCAAACGTATAAAGAACTTATCAAACTCAACACCCAAAGAACAAATAATACAATCAAGAAATGGGCATAAAACATGAACAGACATTTCTCCAAAGAAGACATACAAATGGCTAACAGACATATGAAAAAAATGCTCAACATCACTCAGCATCAGGGAAATACAAATCAAAACTACAATGAGATACCATTTCACACCAGTCAGAATGGCTAAAATTTACCAGTCAGGAAATGACAGATGTTGGTGGGGATGCGGAGAAAGGGGAACCCTCCTACACTGTTGGTGGGAATGCAAGTGGTACAGCCACTCTGGGAAACAGTATGGAGGTTCCTCAAAAAGTTGAAAATAGAACTACCCTACCACCCAGCAATTGCACTACTGCGTATTTACCCAAAGATACAAATGTAGTGATCCAAAGGGGCACCTGCACCCCAATATTTATAGCAGCAATGTCCACAATAGCCAAACTATGGAAAGAGCCCAGATGTCCATCGACAGATGAATGGATAAAGAAGATGTGGTATATATACACAATGGAATATTATGTAACCATCAAAAAGAATGAAATCTTGCCATTTGCAACAACGTGGATGGAACTGGAGAGTATTATGCTAAGTGAAATAAGTCAATCAGAGAAAGACAATTATCATATGATCTCACTCATATGTGGAATTTAAGAAACAAAACAGAGGATTATAGGGGAAGAGAGGAAAAATAAAACAAGACAAAATCAGAGAGGGAGAAAAACCATAAGAAACCCTTTTTCATAGGAAACAAACTGAGAGTTGCTGGAGGGGAGGGTGGGTGGGAGGATGGGGTAACTAGGTGATGGACAGTAAGGAGGGCACATGATGTAATGAACACTGGGTATTACATAATACTGATGAATCACCTCTACCTCTGAAACTAATAATATATGTTAATTAATTGAATTTAAATTAAAAAAACATGAATGAAAAGAAACATTTGCTATCTCTAAAGTTCCCCTTAAATATGATTTACCTAACAGACATCTGCACAAACACAAATAATTTTATTCACATGTTAGAACAGTGTTTGAGTAGACAAGTGTTTTAAGGACACTTAATACAATCAATTTCTTGAACTCAGATTTGAATTTTAAAAAAAACTATATTCAAGCTCTGGGTATTTTACTTACAGAATTTTGCATGTAGCTCACTTCTTTCTGCACAAAGGTAAAATACTATTTGTATTTGCTTAATTCCCCATATTTTGCTGTTTCAACATGATCTTGTACCCCCAGTCATTTCATTGTTAGTCTAAGTTTACATTTCTTTCACTCTCAGCCTTTTCTGAGCTCATTTTCTCTCTTTATGTTCTCGAGTATAGCTTCGAGGTATCGGGTATTCCTTCCCAAGGTCCACAACAATTACCTCCCTAGAAAATGTCACTCCTTTTAAAGGTCTTTTGTGGTTTTCAACACCTGAAGGAGTTCTAGTGAGAGGTGTAGGTGGTTTTTGCAAATCTTCATCCTGTAAGAGAATGGAACAAACAGTATAAAAGATCAATTTATGAAGGCAACAAGTCCTGCTTTAAAAAAATGTTATATTTTTAATTTAGTTTATATTTTAAATTCAATATAGAAACACTGTTAGTAAGAAACAGAAGAAGTGTTTCTAAATGATACAGGAAAGCAGTGATAATCCATCATGATCTCATTTTCATATCTCTATGGGTAGAAAGGGGCCCCGAACCATCGTTCTGCCTCTGGGCATGGGCCTTGTGTTGAGGGAAGATGTGAACTGTTCCTATCAGAGAGTCCTGACAGGGAGCTCAAGAAGGCCCGGGCAATGTTTGTATGCTGTTGTACAGCCTGGAACCAGAACAGGGACATGGGCTCTGGTCCTGAGCTTGGCCGCAGTGGAGGAATGACCTTGAACAATTCATCTCATTTTATCATTTGTAACATGAGAGGGCTGGATCCCTAGATGATCTCCAAGGACTCCACCAGCTCTAAGATCCTAGGATTCTGAGAAAAGCAAAATGAAGGGGGATTATTAAGAACAATACAAATGTAAGAGTGAAGAATGAGCAAGTGTCTAGATTTGGCATACATGACTGGTTTAATAACATGAACTGATGAACTAAGAAGAATGGTTTAGAAGACTGCAGACTTTGTGCTCCTTCCAGGTAAAAACTTAAGTTTCAGGCAAGACCATCTCATTGTACCTAGCCAAAAAATTTACCACTTTTCAATCAAACACATTCTGACCTGGTCCTTGGGAGGAGATAAGGCGATCTCCTCTTCACCATTTCCTCCAGCATTCTTAGGCTCTTGCTTCTCTTTTGTTTTGTCCTCCTTCTCTTCTATGTTCTCTTTGTTTTCTAAGGGTGTGTCTTCTTTACTCCGTCTCTGGACAAGAATGCCAGGCCTCATGGGTGCGTTTAAGTCCGTGATTGGTGTTAGGATAGTCCTAGGTAATCAGCAGAATTTTTAAAATTCATGCATGTTAGCCACCATTATCATACCCCAGAATGGCTTTCTATCACATTCTACAATACAGACTTACTTTTGTTGGTCTCCTGAATTGTTTGTCTCCGCATTAGCAGCTAAACAATCTTCACCTCCATTAGCATCTGTACAAGGACTTTTTTCTGTCTCTTCATCTTTCTTGCTTTGGAAACTGAAAATGAATAAGCAAAAAATTCAGAAAAAAAAAGAATGGTCTTGATTTACTTGGCATGGAACTTCACTTTTAAATAGGAAATTAGAATTTCTAAAATTCTGAAATGGAAAAAATAAATAGCTATAGCATTATTTGCTCTATTTTAAATTGATTTATATTATTTCTAGATACATTTGCTAGTGTGACTTGAAATCTGATCCCAATTTATCAGCGTGGATTTATACCATTTATATAAAAAAACCACCAATAAAAGGAGGATGCAAATGAAGCAAATTAGAAGGAGGATGAAGAAAGTGATTGCTGTGGTTTCAAAGCTCATAGGGTTAGCTAGAAGAATCGTCCACTCTCACAATCACAGATTGTACAAATATTCTTTTCCAGCTTAGTTTGAATGTAGTTCTCTTGTTCTTTAAGTTTTCTAGAAACAGAAGAATAAAAAGCTATTTTCACTGTTGTTCTTTTGATCAGCTTCATAAAAGATGCTGTGCTTGTTTCGATGAAGTTGACTCACACTGGCTAATTTCTCCCCATAAATGTGGTGGGGGCTGAGGTGGTTAGAGGGGAGACTGAGCTGGGACACGTGTGATCACACAGCTCACCTCCCCTCACCCCAAAAACTATCAGAATCCAGAGGATAGGAATTGGAGCAGCTGGAGCCAAGCCCAGCTCCCCATTCTTCTCTCTTCAGTGACGTCATAGAATCATGGAACGGTTCAGTTAGAAGGACCAGAGTGCCAGCCCAACCCTGCCCATCACCTGGAGTTAGGAACACTAAGAAGCTCTTCTCTGGGCTGCCGTTTCACTGTCCTCTCCTCTCAGAGGGCTGGGGTGGAGGCCATGGGGCACCATCCTGGCACTCTTTGGACAAGGATTTTCTTCCTGCTCTCCAAACACCAGCTTTCCTTTCTCAACCTGAGCCTATTTCTTTACTGCTTCTTTCACAGACAATGAACAATCAGTCCCACTTCCTTCTTATAAAATCCCTCCCTGTAGTAATCAGCTTACCCCCAAATCGATGCTCTCCAAGCTAAATAGCCCATCCTTCTAATACCACATCACTGGACCCATTTCCTGGACAAATAAGCAAACTAGCAGCTCTAGAAGCCGTGGCTGAGGAAGCAGGAGCAGAGCAAGATGACCCCACCCCCAACCTAATTTCAGGTGAGTGAGTGATGCCCATTACAAGAAGGGGGAGGGAAGAGTTAGGGTCTTCTGAGAAGCAGAGAAAGGTACAGGAATATGGCAGCTGCTGCCAACCACATCTAAAAAATTGGAAAACGAGTTCTAGGAGTCTCTGGGCTGTAGCAGCACTGGATCTCCTTCAGAAGGGCAAGGACTGTGGCTTTTTCATCTCTGGATACTCCACCAACTCAGGACCTTCAAATCGCATAAATGTTGAATGGATGGGGGTGTGTAGCAGGTGTGGTGTGTGTGTGTGTGTGTGTGTGTGTATGTGGTAGCCCAAATGGAGCTTGTTGGAGGGCTCAGGCCATGCCTAATTTTTTAGAACATGTGAACATCTGAGCCACTCCGAGCAGAGTGAGCAGAATTCATGGATGCTTCCTCCAGCAAGGCTCCCAGATGAAGACTCAGAGCCCATCTCACTCTCCTTACGCTACACTGCTGCCAGACTGAGACTTTAAAAGCCCAAATCTTCCCATGTCTCACGTACACATAAAGGATTTTTCTGGGAGATGGGAATATTTTAGATCTACTGTTGGTTACACAGGTCTAGACATATGTAAAAACCCATCAAACTAGATCCTTAAGATTAGTGTGCCTTGTGTCATCTACTGTGTGGATATTATACTGAATAGAAAGGGAAAAGGGGCCCCATCCCCACCCTGAATTTAAGTATTTGCCGTGAGTCATGCTGGACTGGAGTGCACTGCTGCTATTTGGTCCTGTCTCCAAGACTGCTCAACAGATGTAGTCTGAGACCAGAGACCTTTAGCAATAAGTAAGGGCTGACAAGACTATTGCAAGGGCTTTCCTTCACTGAATGTGACTTAGGAATCAATATCATATATTTAACATAATTCTGAAAAGTGAAAGGTTCTCCAACTTTGGTGGTCCCTAAATCACATTTTAGGTGCACTGGACTGTAAGTCGTGATGCCACGATAGTCAAAGATGGGTTCCAGAACCTAACAAAATATACTTTGTATGCAGGCATGTGCTCAAAAATTATACATGGTGGGAAATTACAACCAATTCTACAGAAATTAAAAATATCCTAAGAGAGTACTATGAACAATTGTATGCTGACAAATTGAATAACCCAGATGAAATGGAAAAATTTCTAGAAACACAAAACCTATCAAGACAGAATCATGAAGATCTAGGAAATCTGACTAGAACTATGAGAAGGAGACTGAATCAATAGTCAAAATCTCCAAACAAAAAAAAAGACCTGGACCAGATGGTTTCACTGAGGAATTCTATTGAACATTTAAAAAAGAACTAGCCGATCTTTTTCAAACTCTTCCAAACAATTGAAGAAAAGGGAACATTTCATAACTCATTGTATGAGGCCAGCATTACCCTGAAGACACTACAAAAAAAGAAATCTAAAAGACTGATATCCCTTATAAGTACTGAGGCAAAAATCCTCAACAGAATACTAGCAAACTGAATTTAGCAGCATATTAAAAGGATTATATACCATGACAAAGTGGAATTTATTCCACGAATGCAAGGATGATTCAACATACAAAAATCAATGTAATCTGCCACATTAACAGAATGAAGAGGAGAAAAATACATGATCATCTCAATTAATTCAGGAAAGGTATTTGACATAATTTAGTATCCTTTTCATGATGAAAAACACCAAATAAACTAGAAATAGAAGGAAACTATCCCACAATAATAAGGTTATATATAGAAAACCCACAGCTAACATCACACTCAGTGGTGAGAAAGTATTTGCAAATGACATATCTGATAATGGATTAATATCCAGAATAAATAAAAAACTCCTATAATTCAACAACAAAAAAAAACCCAATTCAAAAATGGACAATGCATAGACATTTTTCCAAAGAAGATATGCAAATGGACAATAAGTACATGAAAAGATGCTCAGCATCACTAATCATTAAGGAGCAAATCAAAACTACAATGGGATAACCACTTCATACCCATGAATACAGCCATTATTTAAAAGAAAAGAAAAGAAAAGAAAACAACAAGTGTTAGAATGTGGAGAAATTGGAACCCTTGTGTATTGTTGGTGAGAATGTAAAATGGTGTGGCCACTCTGGAAAACAATATGGAGGTTCCTCAAAAAGTTGAAAATAGAGCTACCCTATGACCCAGCAATTGCACTACTGGGTATTTACCCCAAAGATACAAATGTAGTGATCTGAAGGGGCACGTGCACCCCAACGTTTATAGCAGCAATGTCCACAATAGCCAAATGATGGAAAGAGCCCAGATGCCCATTGACAGGTGAATAAAGAAGATGTGTTAGATATATTATATATATATATAATGGTATATTATGCAGCCAACAAAAAGATGAAATCTTGCCATTTGCAAGGACATGGATGGAACTAGAGGGTGTTATGCTAAGCGAAATAAGTCAATCAGAGAAAGACAATTATCGTATGATTTCACTGATATGTGGAATTTAAGAAACAAGACAGAGGATCATAGGGGAAGAGAGGAAAAAATGAAACAAGATGAAACCAGAGAGGGAGACAAACCATAAGAGACTCTTAATCTTAGGAAACAAACTGAGGATTGCTGGAGAGGGGTTGGGGGATGAGGTAACTAGGTGACGGACACTGGGGAGGCTGTGTGTTGTGATGAGCACTGGGTATTATATAAGACTGATCAATCACAGACCTGTACTCCTGAAACAAATATTATATGTCCATTAATTGAATTTAAATTTAAAAATATTTTTAAAAATTAAATATAGAGTTCCATATGATCCAGCAATCTCAGTTCTGGGTATACACACAAGAGAAGTGAAGCAGGGACTGGAACAGATATTTGTACACCCATGTTCACAGTAGCACTATTCAAAATAGCCAAAAGGTAGAAACAACCCAAGTTGGGATATATTATTCAGCTTTAAAAGGGAATGAAATTCTGATACAGGTTACACAGAGATGAACCTGGAAGGCATGATGCTAAGTGAAGCAAATACCTGCAATAGTCGAATTCAGAGACACAGGAAGTAGAATCATGATTACCAGGTGCTAGGGTGAGGGGGGAAATGGTGAGCTATTGTTTAATGGATACAGTTTCAGTTTGGGAAGATGGAGAAGTTCTGAAGATGGATGCTGGTGATGGTTGCATAACAACGTAAATGTACTTAAGCCACTGAACTGCACACTTAAAAATGGTGAAAATGGTAAATTTTGTATTTGTATCATAATTTAAGACAATTACTTGTGGAACAGAGGAAAGGAAACCCATCTGTAGTGGCCTGGTATGTGGCAGGCACTGGAAGAAAAAAACCACCAGCACACAGAAATCTTGTTTCTATCTCCATCCTCTTGCTCAGTTTGTCTCCCCACTGTGAACGCCCCAGCCCTGCCTCAGCCCTTTACCTCCCCACTCCTGCACTGCCTTCACATGAGGCCATCACCATCCACTAGGCTTCCTTCCTTCTTGCTTTCTCTAAGCTGTCATTTCAGCTCAGTGACACACCATGTCACCTACCTGCATCCCAAACCCGTGCCCTGTCCAGCTCCAGCCGCACGCCAGCGGGCGAGTGGCAGGGGCTTTCACATTCTTTGTCATTTCCCACCTCCCACCCCATTTATTCCTTGACCTCAGGCTCCCAGAATCCTAAACATTATCCCTCCTGTTATCAAAACCTGCTTTCTAATCCTTCAAACCAAGAATGTCCGATAGAAACTTAAAGTTATTCCACTCTCAAGGATATTTGTATCTTAAACAAGAGCTAAAAGCAAAAGCAAGACAGGGTAGAATTTCAGGCATCAGCCAGCAGACGGGGAGTTCCCTTTGGGGCAAGGAAGACTTTTCTAGTGCTCCTCACATCTGCCACACTGGGGTCAGATATCAACTCCTCCTAGGGCGAGCAGTTCTGCCCTGTCCCCCACTCCTGCCTTCAGGCTCCTTCGGGGTAGTAGCCAAAGGGTGGGCAGTCCCGGTAGCAGGGTCTGTGGCAGGCTGTGCTCCAGATGGGCACAGGGTGCATGTGAATCCCCAACCACCTCCCTAAGGCCTTGATCCATGCAATTTGGTGATGTCCTCTAACAAAAGCATGATCCCTGAATTACAGGATCAAGACAAGGACATTGAGAGGCCTTACACGTCACAGCTGCCTGAATGTGAAAACCAGGGGAGCACACAGGACCCAGGTCTGGCCAGTCAGAACAGTCCACAGTTCAGGAGTCAGTATGGGATCCAATCAGCTCAGTCAGTCTCAATGTCAGGATACTTGCAGAAACTACCGGCAAAGAGGAGAACAGCGCTGACAGAGAGAGAGAGAGAGAGAGAGACAAATTACAAATGACTCTGCTTGATCTAACCATGCTTGAAATCTTGGGTTTTTTCGCTGTGGACTGGAAGCTGTAAGTTGTGTGACCTGACGCCTTTCCTTTCTGGCTTAAGTTGGTCCGAGTGGGGTTTGTGTCTCCTGCAATCCAAGACTGCTGACCAACTCGCTCTGTAACCAGAATCATACCGCCTCCCTTTCTGAGTCCTTGATTTCTAACACAAGAATCCTCACTTCTTCACATAAGAGCCATTGCACCTGTCCACCAAGTCCTGAGCTTGTAGGGCATTAAATAGGTCCACTCTAGCCTCCAATGACAAGTGCAATGAAATGAATGCCTTTTTTTCTTTCTTCAAATGAGTGTAGCTGTTTCCCCTACTATAGCTGGTGGAGCAGCGTGGAGGTCTTATTTTAGATTTTAGAAGGCCACGTGGAAAATACTGGCACTTACAAATGTGAAGCTGTGGTATTGCACAGAGCTCCTGGACTGAAACAGTTTCTCTTCTATAACAATGGCTAAAATCTGTCAATTTTTACTAGAGGAAGGAAGGAAAAAAATGATATTAAACACTAAGATAAATAGCTAATATTTTAGTACATATAATCTCCACATAAGTGAAGGCTGTTCTGCTGAAAAGCCTTCATTTTTTATGATCCACAGTTAACCTTTTCATGCAGAAGCCATTTAAAACCTCACAAAGTTAGGGCACCTGGGTGGCTCAGTCGGTTAGGTTTCCAACTCCTGGTTTTGGCTCAGGTCATGATCTCAAGGTTGTGAGATCGAGCCCCATGTCGGGCTTTGCACTCACCAGAGAGTCTACTTGGGACTCTCTCTCCCTCTCCCTCAGCCCCTCCCTCTGTTCTGTCTCTCAAATAAATAAATCTTTTTTAAAAAAATAAAACCTCACAAAGTCAGTACAGCTTGATAAGGCTTTTGGGCTATCCATTCATCACCCAATTGTTTCTCATGTAACAAGTAACACTGAGCTACACAACAGGAAACGCGGCCCTTGGCAGGGGTGATGGTACCAGGAGAGCACTTCTCTCACTAAGGAAATGGGCACCAATCCCCAAACACCACAGTTCAGCAGAGGAATCTCAAATTCACTACAAAAGATTTAGCAAAACATTATAGCTAATATTTATTCACCTAGAATTGAAACATCTTTTTTTTTTTAAAGATTTTATTTATTTATTTGAGACAGAGAGAATGAGAGCGACAGAGAGCACATGAGAGGGGGGAGGGTCAGAGGGAGAAGCAGACTCCCTGCCAAGCAGGGAGCCCAATGCGGGACTCGATCCCGGGACTCCAGGATCATGACCTGAGCCGAAGGCAGTCGCTTAACCAACTGAGCCACCCAGGCGCCCTAGAATTGAAACATCTTTGAGAAAGTGTCTGAAGCATTGTACTATTAATATAACATTACAACCACCTCAAATCAGGTAAATACGTTCCTGGCTTCAACTACCAGAGCTGTAACACCCGTGTGCACACCCAGCCCAGGGACATTTTAAAGTCCCTCTGTCTTGCAGTCTGCTACTGGCTTCATGAGGCTGAGAGACTCCAAGTTGAGGAGTCAACCACCCCTGAGTCATCATTCCAGTGGTCCCATTCAATCTTCTGGTTTGTGAAGGGCATACCTGGGCTGCAGGCAGAGAACGTTCTGGCCATGTATTTGAGCATCTTCTGCCTTATCCCATGCTATGTGGTTAGTAGGCTCAAATTCCAAGGACTATGGGGGCACCTGGGTGGCTCATTCAGTTGAGTGTCTGGGATGGAGCCCCATGTCGGGCTCTCTGCTCAGAGGGGAGCCTGCTTCTCCCTCTCCCTCTGCCTGTCGCTCCCCCTGCTTGTGCTCGCTCTCTCTGTGTCAAATAAATAAAGCCTTAAACAAAAATCCAAGGACTATGAAAAGCAGATTAGTCTCTGATTCCACACCTGTCTGAGATGTCCAGGAAATGTGTTAAAGCTGACCTGATCTATCTATTCCTGGGACACTTTTGACCTTGTGATTCCAGCCCAGGGAAGACGTGAGACGACATTCCAGCCTACCTCAGGGGAGCAAGTAGGATTTGTATAGACCAAGCCTTTTGCACATTACAAGCTTTATGTCCTTTATTTATACCTATTCACAGATCACACTTGGATTAACATTGATTGAACAACTCTATTTGTTTTATTTCATTTTTTTAAAGATTTTATTTATTTATTTGACAGAGAGAGACACAGCAGAGAGGGAACACAAGCAGGAAGAGTGGGAGAGGGAGAGGCAGGCTTCCTGCCGAGCAGGGAGCCTGATGCAGGGCTTGATCCCAGGACCCTGCACAATGTCAAGGTTCATCCATGTTGTAGCAGGTTTCAGTATTTCATTCATGTGAGGAAACATGTATATATTTTTATAAATTTAGAATAAAATTAGAATCATGGGGAGACTGAGTGGCTCAGTCAGGGGTGGGGGGGCTCCATGCTCAGCGGGGAGTCTGCTTGAGATTCTCTCCCTCCTTCTTCCATTGCCCATCCCCCCCCTCAAAATAAATAAATCTTTTTAAAAAAAGAAAAAAATTAGAATTTCTATATATATACTTTGTTAAACTTACCATTTTTATTATAAATATTTCCCCAATGTCTTTCAATAATCTTCAAACAGATGATTTTTTTTAAACACTAGATGTGGTGGATTTTTTTTTCTAAGATTTTATTCATTTATTTGAGAGAGACAGTGAGTGAGAGAGTGAGAGAGCACAAGTGGGGGGAGGGGCAGAGGGAGAAGCAGGCTCCCCGCTGAGCAGGAAGCCTGCTGCGGGACTTGATCCCAGGACGCTGGGACCATGACCCGAGCCCTGGGATCATGACCTGAGCTGAAGGCAGACGCTTAACCAACTGGGCCACCGAGGCGCCCCAGAAAGATGATTTTTTTTAAATACCTACACATTTTTCCAGTTTATAGAAGCATTACAATTGTTTTCTTATTGTTGGACAACTTACTGTTTTTATAAATAGCATTGATGGTCGTATTTATAAATAAATATATGAATTAAACTCTAATATTAAAATATTAATCTTCACTTTTATTTTCAAAAGTTTATTGGCTTCTGGCTCTATCTTTTATTTTAAATCTCATCCACTTTGTTTCACTGTTTTTGGGCTCCAAATATCTTACATTTTGATTTATTACTTTTAACTTCTATTTATTCCCTTTTTTTATATCTTATTTCTAATTTCTTAGGTTCAGTCTTCTATTAGCCTTAGTTAAGGCAAAAGCAATGTTCTGCTTTAGGCTTAGAAAACTGTTAAAAACACTTTGATTTTTTAATAATTTGTATTATTAACTTGTAAAAGGGGAATCCTAATCATCTGTAGATCCCAATAGTTTTGTTTGTTTGCTCCCTTGCTTTTGGGAAGGGAAAAAAAATTGGAAAAAAACATGCATTGGTGATGTGACTTAAATTTTAAGAAACATGTTTTATAAACAAGCACAATTTCTCATAAAAGCAATTTTTTCTGATTCTAAGCAATTTTCTTAAGCTTAGAAGTTAAAGTTTCTCTTGTAGATGTCAAGTCTTTCTTGATCACAAGAGTCTTCACATAATACTCTATTTGAATTAAAAGAAACCCCAGAATCACAACTCTGCCATTTGAGCAATTTAATTTTATTAGGAACTCACTTAAACTTGATAAATCACTTTTAATTTTTCTGTTACCTTTTTAAGCTTAAAGTAAAAATGTTCACAGCACATCACTGATAAGCTAATGCTCAGATGTTTTCATCTCTGTATAAGATTTTAGTCAGTATTGGGCAAAAACACATACTGGTTTTATTAGATTTTCTGATAACATTTTTAGATTTACAGAAAAATTGAGAAGATAGTACAGAGAGTTCTCATATACCTCATACCCCCAGTTTATTATTAACATGTTACATGAGTATGGTACATTTCTTTCTATTAATGAACCAATATTGATGCATTATTATGAACTAAAGTGCATAGTTTACTCAGATTTCCTTAGCTTTTATCTATCTTAGTTTTTCCTAGTTTTTATCTCATGTCTTTTTCTAGTCCAGGATTCCATCCAGAATACTACATTACAATTAGTTGTCGTGTTTCCTTAGACTCCTCGTGGCTGTGACGGTTTCTCAGACTCTTGTTGTTTTTGATCACCTTAACAGTTTTTGGGAGCACTGATCAGGTACATTGTAGGTTGACCCACTACTGGAATTTGAGCAGACACATTTTTTATTTTGGAATTTTCTTTAAAGTAAAGGCACATACATATTTTTAATTCCACATCTTCTACC